GCGGTACTGCTCTGCGTCTGGCTGAATGTATGAGTTCGTTACGGGTGAAGCTCATTTAACACCATGTAAGGATTGGAATTTACTTTCTCATCAAGAGCTAATTTGTCAATGATCTGATCTAAATCTTGATTCATTATTTTGCCAAGGATAAGGTAAGCAATGACTTTGAGTAGAACATTGATACCAACTGCATCAATGTCGATTAAGCAGGCTCTGGTGTCATCGATATAGTCTTGAAGATCACCCTTATAGACGAGAGCGGACCAAGTCATGTATACTTGTCCCTGGTTGATGACCGTTCTTGATGTGTATTGGTAGGCAATCTTCTTCCAAAGCAAGTATGCACTGTCACTGGTGGTATTGTTCACACATTCATTGTAGCAGCGTTGACTGAGTCGAGGAACAATGATGGAGATCGTGTGATCGCTTGAGGTGGTGCTTATGGGAGCAGCTGAGATAGCCAAGGTGGAGGGTTCGGCAGGAGGAGTGATACAGACTGACCAGAGGTCTTTGCCTCGTAGTTGAACCTTTGTTCGACCGTACCATGAGGGGTAATTCTTTCCATTGAGGATCGGCAGGAGATGTTCTGTTTTAATCAATTCACTAGGGTTGTTGGCCATTACTGCTTAGTCTTGATGTGTCGTTCGGTACGATAGAGCGAATCGAGACTGTAAATCTGTGAATGAATAGACTAAAGTATTGTATTTCATAAGTGCCAGCTAAAAGAAATACAATACGAAGAAACGGAATGAAATGAAAAATAGTAGTCATCTAAAGCAGTAGATGGCTTATTGAGAAAGAACAACAATGAACTTTGATAAGAGAACAATAAGGAAATGAATAAAAAGGGATCTTTGAAAAAGAGAGTCAGGTTAACATCAGAACAGTTACGAGAAGAGATCAACAAGAACCTACGATGATTTGGGGGAGGTTTCGGAGAAGAGATGGTCGGCGATGTTGTCAGATGGAAGGGATGGATTTGATTCTGAGATCAAGGATGATTTGACAATGTATGTCGGATGGAAGTGATTTGATTTGATTCAAAGATCAAGAGAGAGAGATGATTTAGAAAGATCAAAGTCAATGATAGAAAAAGTTTTGACTTTGGAGGAACAAGAGGACAAAAGTTGACAAGAGAGAGGAGATGATAAAGAAAAGAGATAATCAATTCAGCGCACAACAGCAGCAATGTTGAGGATCCAAGCACAATGATGTCATTGGTGCTTGGTTGGTTTGCAAAAGTTCAGGCACGATGATGTCATGAGTGATTTGGTCTTGGGTAAAATAGTGGTCTGGAGATTGAGAGAAGGTATGAGCTGAAGCTTAGACCTCAACACAAACGAGAATGTGGAGATTGATCTTGTGAGTAACTCATCTACTTACTCCTTTTTCTCATTGTTCATCCCCTCTGTTTTCCTCTTGAACTTTTGTTAGTATGAGTACAAAGACAGCATCAAGCCAGCAGGAGTAATCCCACACATCTTACACTTTCACAATGTCAAAGGCAATGGGAATTGTGGCTTCTGAGCGGTTGCGGTCAGCTTGGGGACGCCAGTCTGACAAATGGGACTCAATCCGCAAGGAAATGCAGAAGGAATTCGAGTCAAACAAGGCCTATTAGTATTCAGACAAAACATTTATGGATAACGTATGGGGAGCAGGGGACAACCAAAAAGACATCACTGATTTGCTCACATGGAGAGACAAGGAACATCAAGCCCCCCTCAAGTACTGGATGATGTTCCCTGCGCACGGTTATTTAATTGCTGATACGTACCAAAGACCGGTTATTTCATTATCGGAAAAGATGCCTGCGACTTATCTTCCTCTTGCTCATACTCCAAGAAACAACCCTCCCATCTGTCTGATCCTTTTACCTGACTATTCTCATTTCATCTTGTTCACTTTCAAGGCTGAAATATGGCCATGCCCCAGGATTGATACCTTTTGGAGACACTATGTCAGGGATGAAGCGCTGGGTTGGGAGGATTGGATTCAAGCCCATGTTGAACTGGGTCAAGCAGTCCTGTGCCCACCTGTCCGAAGATATTTGCGCTTCAAAAAGGCTCCTGTTGAAGTTGATTAACTTTTTTCATGACTGTTCTCCGTACCTTCCTCTGATTTCCTGCTATTGTCCCTCTTCTCATTTTAAAATCCAAACTACACTCTTTTATGCCCACCCTCTTTTGTAAATCTAAATTTGGCCTCATGAGAATACTATAGCATTTTCTGCTTTTTCCATTGATAAATTTGAGTTTGGAAGGTTAAATAACCACCGGTAACTTTCCACAGTGCTTGCATCAATAAAATGAGTGGGAGCAATAATTAAAATGCAAATGAATCATTCTTATGAAAAATTAATTTTACCATTAAGTTCTACACCTTTCAAAGTGTAGGAAAAAAATTTACAATGTCAAAAAAGAATGAAAAACAAGCCACTAACAATTAATTGAAAAATTAGTGGGAACGGAAGCTACAATGCATAAAGATCATTTTTATGCAAAATAAATATTACCATTGAATTCTCCACCTTTCAAAGTGTAGCAAACAATTTTACAATGTCAAAAAATAGTGAAAAACAAGCCAGTAACATTTAATTGTAAAAATGAGTGAGCAGAGAAAAAAAAATCAAAGTCATTTTTATGGAAAATGGACTTTACCATTAAATTCTACACCTTTCAAAGTGTAGGAATAAATTTTAAAATTTCGAAAAATCTCAAGAAATAAGCAGTAAAAAATTAATTACAAAACCGTGTTTAAACACGGAAACCGAGTGTGCTGTGCCGCAGCAAAACCGCTGTAAGACTCAAAAGTGGTTGTGAAAACCCTTTTGCTGAATGGAGAAGGGTATTTTGGAGTTTCAAGCTCTGCCCTTCTATACTATCAGAATAACAAGACCACCAAGCTTAGCTTGGCCATTTTATATATAGTGATAGGGATAAGTTCAAGATGAAGCTGCTGATTGATATGTGTGAGGGTATAAAGATTTTATTGACTGTTGGTTATATTGATGAAGTTGTTGTTGATGAATATGGTTCAGGGCACTCTTGGTTTATGATGATGATGAAAGTGTTAAATCTGTATTTCAATGTATATAATTCTGTCATTGTAATGTGGCTATGACTTGTAGTTATGAAATAATATATAAGATGGATTTATTTATAAGGGTGGTTGAGATGATCTGGTCCACTGGTGGGATGATGGAGGGAACAACTGATATAGACAAATGTGAGGGATTTTAGCCCTAGGGTACAGGCTTTTGAGGCATTTTAGCGGGCCTGAGGATCCAATGAGGGAATTTAGCTGGTCTAATAGATGCAGTTGAGGGAATTTGGCTAGTGAGAGCACTGCCTTGAGGTATTTTGGCTAGCCTACAAGGTCCTACTACAAAGGAATGCATGTGCACCTACAAAGGAATTCAATATGCACTATGTGCCAATAAAGGAATTCAATACAGTTGCGTACGGCAAAGACCGACAGTGCCCCGCCCGCAAAAACTACAATTTGCACGCGGGCCCTATGTTTACCGGCCTCATGGGGCCAAACCACAAGGTAACCACAATTTTCGACGTTTCAGACCTAGCAGCGTTCAATAATAAAAGGGCTAATGATTCTGCCCAGCCAATTTTTTTTTTTTTTTTTTCGGTCTTTGCAATCCGGACACAACCTTCTGGACCATACCAGGGGGCCATACTATGTACTTAGAGCAGTGTATGGGTCAAGAAAGCCCCATAAACCCATACAAATCGCAACTATCTATGCTCTGGACAGCTCTGGACCTGTCGGCCGATCAACTTAGGATCAACGATGTCGGCCGATCAACTTAGGATCAACAATGTTGGCCGATCAACTTAGCTGTATTAGTTTTTGACCAGAAGAAGTAAAAAATGAGAACAAACGAGTGAAAGGTTGACCAAGAGGCACAAGAAGCGAAAAAATGAGAGAGGAAGACAAGCAAAAGTGGACATCATGAGGTTAGGATGTCGATGTTCATCGCAGCCTTTCGGGGGATACATCGGTGAGACTTGTATTTCTTCACCAACGCATGTGACTGCTTGCCGGTATAGCCTTGCTGGTAAGCTGAAATCTGTCGGTCAATGCGACAGAAGTACTTCCTGATTGTCACAAGGGGACAAGATTGTCTAACCCTATCAAACAACTCCTTGCTAGACTGAAAGGTTTTGCAGGTATGAGATTGTTTTCGGTATGCTGAGTGAACCAAAAACAAGTGTTCAAATCAGCTACTACGTAGTACATAGAAAGGGAAATGTGTAATTACGAATCAACTTACACTCCTTGATGTAGGACCAGAAAAGCTCGATGGGATTTAATTCACAATGAAACTTTGGTAAGAAGAGGCATATGTGGCCTGCATCTTCGATGATCGTTTGTAGTAAAGGACGTTCGTTGACAAAGTCCGATTGGGAAGAGAGAATTTTGGACCAGCAGCAAGTACTACTGCTGACATCTGCAGATGCGGGTGGTTCTTGCTCAGTGTTGATGTGTTTTAGAGAGCTATCGGAGGCCGCAAGTTCAGTGATGCTTTGTTCTTGTGACAAGAAATACCCACTCTCCTCAGCTTGACGAATCAACCTCGATGATCGTTCTTGCGCATCTTTTCGTATGTTTGAGGCAGCACAGCTGCTGCATCGGAGGTTCAAATTTGGCTTCCCCTCTTTTTTGGCTTTGGCGCTATAGTACTGCCAAAGTCCTCTCTCCTCCAAGATGGCCTGGACTCCTTTTGGCTGTCCCGCTTTTTTTGGATCTGGATGTGCGTTGCTGTAGACAAATTGTTGAGTCTGCCCCCAAAGATGTGATGGAATGCAGGGGTCATCAGAAGGAATGATTGAATCCCGGAGTCGAGACTGCTTTCCTCCTGGAGAGAGATTCATGTTCTGTACTCTCAATGCCGTTTTTGCATAAGCACCATGCGCCGAGGAACAATCGAATATGAAGACTGCTTGCGAGTTTGGATGCAGGATTTCAAATATGGGGATGGCCTTGCATGAAACTTGATTGCAAAGCTGTTCCATATCCCACCATCGATCACCATTTGAGCCAGGATAAATGATTGTTGCAGCATCGGCTGAATCGGGTTTTGAAGCGGCATTCTGAAATTCATCATCAGTGAGCTTCAATCTTCCGGTAGTCTCCAAAATAAAGTCGGAGATGTGAATTAATCGACCCGTGTTTTTTGACCGGATCTCGCTAGTTCCAGGAAGCAGCCAAGTTGATTTGGGTCGCTCCTTTGCATGGATCGTTGACTCGTCGTGGTATATGAAAACAGTCTCTCGCATGCTGTTTAGAGAGTCGGGTTCAACAACAGCAGACTGTTCAAAGGTCTGGAGATCGTACATGCGAGATCGTGTTCGATACATGCTGTAATCTTTGATGTATTTCAATCTAGATTCAACAACATCCGGCCGTTCGTGTCCGTCGAAATAAAGACATTTCTTGTGTTCTTGAGGTCGATATCCAAGTTTATACATCCATCGAGTGGCTGCATTGCGACTGAGTGTTGTATTGATCCCAAAAGCCGGTAGAATCTCGTTAACAATGTGAGTTTGGAACTTGATTGGTGTGACCTGTGAGCACATAATTGGGATGTGATGAGCTGGTGTACATGTGCAAAAATTGAGGTGAAGAAAATGGAGACCGATTCACTCACTTCACCAGGGACCTGTGCAGCAGCCCATTTGAAAACAGCTTCTCGGATTTCAGTGTTATTCAGCATGGAGGGGTGATTTGTGTGATTTCCACGTTTGAGTTCGGGAATTTCTCGGTAGGCAAGGACATGGTTAGCTTGCTTGCAAATAACTTTGGCAAGGTAACTCCCACAATTAGATTCTTGGGGCCCCTTCTTCAAGGAGTGTCGGCGTATATAAGAGCGAGCCGTTGCAATTGATGCCGCCGAGGTCGGAAGAGGAGTGCCATCAATGATGTGCTGATATCGGAGGGAATTGAACTCATGGAGATTGTCAATCGTCCATTGAGGGATCTGAAACCGCTTGTCTTTTTTTGCTCTGGACTTGAGAATAGCAGTTGCCGCCAGGAGGGCAGAATTGAGCTCATCCCACAGGGCTTGAGCTTTGTCGGATTTAGCTTTGGCCTTCTCAGCATTGGTTTTTGGTCGCAGGGGTTTAGGGGCTGCTAGATATCGTTGCTGCTCAATATTCAACCGGCTTTCAGCTGACTCTGTTTCAACCAAGTTGGCTGGGATACCATCATCATTGAGTGTTGCTTGTTCGAGGTTGGGGTCAATCATTGGGTCTCTAGCTTCTTTGGTAGTCGGTTGCCGGATCAGATAGTTCTGCATCATGTTGTTGTTGAAGCCTAGTGCTTGTTCTTTTTTCTTCTTTCGATCGTGTTTGGTTTGCCTTGGGAGAGGTCGGGTTACTAGTTTTTTTGACGAGGGATTGGAGCTTGCAACAGGGTGGCTGTAATTTGTTTTACCAGTTTTTAAGACACGTCCTCGAGGTTTGGGGTCAACATATGAGAGTGGCCCATAGAATATTGACCACATCATTTGCAATGGATCATCGGCAATTTCTTCGGCCTCCTCATCGGATGTATCATCTTGAATTGCGGCCTCCATGTACTGGACTAGATTGTTTGCTTGATTTCGTTCCTCCATCTCTTGATCATATAGGTCAAAAGTGTCGTCCTCATCGCTATTGGGATTCCCAATAAATTTTGTTCGATCGCTTGGGGGAAAAGAAGTGGTCGCTGTCTGTCCAATACTTTCAGTTTGGACTTCTTCAGAGTCAACATCGGAGATTGGAACTGCTGGATCGGTGTTCGTCATCTGAGTGGAATCCAATTCTGCAATATTGCCTCCCTGGAAGTTGGAGGACTCAATGCCGTTGTCTTCATCTCTAGCTCGGCTGTTGTTCACGAATTCGATGTCGCTGTCGTCACTGCCTGGCAAGCATTCAATGCCGCTGTCGTCACTGTCTGGGATCTCAATGACTGTCTTGGTCAGTTTTTTCGGTTTCTTTGATTTGATTTTTTTTGCCTTCACTGCCTTAGTGTCACCCTTATTTTGGGCTTCATTACGGCGCCGTCGTCGTTGGCCCTTTTGAGCCTGGTTCAATGCCATAATGGAGGGAATGAGCTATTATTTATGAAGAAAAAACAAGAATAAGTTTGTGCTGGTCGTTTGGCAAAATTGAAAAAAATTGAGCTCTTTCTTACACGTGGTTGCTCCTGGTGTTTGCCTCCAAAGCCAAGCTGAAAAATGAGACAAATCCCGGAGTAAGTACAGCTTCAGTGGGACATACTGGCTGCCCCTGGCATTCCAGGTGAGGGCTATGTACATATATTCGAACCTCTTGTCTTGTCAAATTATACATACCCATCAACCTTCAGATTTCTCAGGTTCAACTAAAGGTTGGATGATGAGGTCTTCATCATCCATGTACATAGAATTGAGCATAATCGGGCAAGAGATGAATTTCATTGAGCAGAATATGAAGCACACGGTTGCAAAAAGGAAAATCCCAACGGTGGATACACATTGAAGTTTCTAATTAAATTTGACATGCTATTGTAGGGGAGGCTCTTCTCCCATGGTCTCATCAAGGAGGAGCCAATGGCCACACTGCCAGATCACTTCTTCTATCAGATGGAAACGAAATGGGATCAGTTTGTTTTAAGAAAAACATGGAATCAAGTGTTTGCCATACGTTCAGCCATCCACATTCCATCAGATGGATTTGTTTTCATTAAAGTTACTATCATTCGCATATGGTATCTCCGAGCAATCCTGTAAGATGCCTGTAATTGTTTGACCATGGTGATGATTTCTATGTTGGTAATTTGGAGATGAAATGTATCAGCAACATGTTAAAAAGATAAAAAGAAAAACAACAGACCGCGGTGGTTGCGATGGTAGATGCGGTCAAGGTACATCTCCTTGAGGACCTTGTCGCAGAGTGGAAGCTTGTCAGGAAGAAGGCACCATCGCCGATAGTTGTAAGGTGTTGAAAGCCAAGATAAAAGAATTTCCATACTACAGAGACTGTGATCATCATATCGATCGAGGTACCAGCCACTAGCTCTTCTTTCCAAAGACATATCCATTTTGAAGTCTCAGTTTTTTGGAATCGGGATGCTTGAGATTTTTGTTGGTCAAAGCGAAGGGAGGAGGTGATTTTCCCCTTGCCACAACCCCCTGGGAGATGAAAGCTTCTTCAAATGTACAACTGTACAAAAAAAAAACCCGGTCCCGTGGTTTGCCGGACACATTTTCGGAAAAAATCTGACCCTGGGCAATCCGGACAGCCAAAAATCCAAGGTCGGTTTTTGCCGTCCGCAACTGTACAACACAAGGGAATTCAACATTCAATATGCATCCAGTATGCAAAACAAGCCACACTGAGAGTAAAGAATCCAAAATACCTCCCGTGACAGGTTGAAATCTTTTCTAAACTATGAGAGATACAGGGTCAGTTGTAGTGAGTGACTAGGGGTAATTTTACCTAAGAATTCCATTTCTGATGTTATTTTTAATATATATATAATATATAAAGAGATAATAATAAATTTTTATATTTTCTGCGTAGAAACACAGTATTATTTACCACACCACATGTAAATGCGGAGAACCCGTGTTTTTTTATTAATGCCCAAAAATTAATTAAAAAAAGAAAAAAAAATTGAAGGCTTGCAGGCTGAAAGGACTTCAAAATTTCTGTTTATGCAGCTCTTGGAATCTGAAATTTCCCCAAGGAACATTCATTTTGCACCCTAGGGCTCATTTAAGGGGCGGATATCCGCGGATACCCGCCAGTGCCAGTGGATACCCGGCAGCGGATGCGGATGCAGATGTCTGATTTTGCTGAAAAAGTGAGCGGATATCAAAATCCGAACGGATATCCGGATGCGCCGGGCCCATCTCTATCTTCCACCTATTTATTAATTATACAGCCTCAACAACCTTCTCTTCAATGGACAATTGTTCTTTTTTCTTCTTCTTTCAATTCACTCTTTCATTGCTACTAAGGAAAATTGTCTGTATTTAGTCAACCTTTCACTTGATGAATCTATGGCACACAATGTGCCTGTACACTCTTCCCACTCGGACGTATCTGTTCTTGAGTTTCATAGGATTATGGGTTTACCTTTGTATGCCTTGGTAACCCTCTCTTCTTCATCCTTACTTTGTTTGTTTTGAAGATTGTTTGTAATGACAACAAGCCAAAATTTGAACAAAGGAAAAAAGAATGTGCCAAAAACTTTGATAAAACTGAACAAGTTTAGCTACTAATAATAATACTAAGTATGTTGAAAGGTAGGTTACCACACCCCAGAAGACAACATATGTGAATGAAATGGAGTAGGGTCTCCACAAAGAGTCTAGAGACCATTTCAATGGAAGATAAGATGTACAGTGGGTGGACCATTGTTTTTGGCTGCTTGTTCTGGATCCCAGAGCTTCAAAGCACCAGATTAAAGTCATGAGACTTGGTCAAGTGGTGCAGAATAGGTTGCAAAAAATGAATATGAAAAAACTAAAAACAAAAAACAAAGTTTCAAATTTTGTGAAAAATAAAAAATAAAATTGATTTTTTTCAAAAGCTTTGATATTCATTTTGGGGAAGTGTGAGTGCAGAGAGAAAGAAAGAATGGAAAGTGGGAAGAATGATTATAAATGAAAATTTTGGAAAAAGTGGTTACCAGATAGTTTTAACCAGTTGTTGAGTGGGGCATTCACCAGCTCACATTGCAGTAAAGCACTAAAATTTACTGTTTTGACTCCAATCTGGACAACCAACCTGGCTCAACCTTTTTTGGTTCCAATTTTTTTCATTTATAATCATTCTTGCCATGTTCCACTCTTTGTTTCTCTCAGCACTCCCACTCCCCCAAAATGAATAACAAAGCTTTTGAAAAAAAACATTTTTATTTTTTATTTTTCACAAAATTTAAAACTTTGTTTTTTGTTTTTATTTTTTCATATTCATTTTCTGGGACCTATTCTGCACCACTTCACCAAGTCTTGTGACTCAAAGTTTGTGTTTTGAAGCTGTAGAATCCAAAACAAGCAGCCAAAAATAACGGTCCACCCACTGTACACATATATGTATATATAACCCAGCTTTATAGATTGAGTTCAAAGCATTCAAAGCAACACAGTATAAAGCAACCACAAAAAATTGTAGATAGTCTTTGTTAATTGGAAACTAGATATAAAAAGGGATAGAAACCTGAAAATAGACAATTCAATGCAGTCATGGATGGAAGGCTGAAGTGCTAGCAGAAAATTGGAATGAGGTCAACAAATATTTTCTGCTCATAGGCCCACAGGCTTATTTGAGAGGAAGTGATAGGAGGTTGTGAGGATGGGTGTGCTGAGTGTTGGATTATATGCTTATACTGTAGTATGCTTCAAACAAACCACAAGACAAATCCTGTATTTAGTTCCTCTCAGGATTAGTCTGGCAGTTTCTTCCTAAGTGAATCAGAACAACATCTTTTCTTTCTCACTCCTCAAGTGTCACAGGACGTGTCGTCTGTGAACTTCAGTCATTGTCTCCCCTGTCTGTCTCAACACTGAGGACTTGATGTTGGCTTGGAATCAGTGTCGTCAATGTTGGACTCTTGGAGACAATATTGGGTCAGACTCTTGGAGACGATATTGGGTCGGACTCTCTGTTTGTGGATGTGATGTGCAGAGGCCTACAGGCCGTCGGGTGAAATTAAGGCTGGCACCCAGGGCTTTGGGCGGGGGGTCAAGCCCATCCCCAACCCCACATCCAAAACCAACTTTTTTTTTTGCTGGCAAGCACTGAGTTGAGGGGTGGTTGTGAGCCTAGAACATACCCCAGACGTTCCATCTCCCTCTTTTACAATGGTACAATTGATTTTTGATGATGGAAACTAACTTAATTGCTAGTCTGTAAGTTGTCACCTTGCTCCCCCTGCTCAATCGTCACTCTACTCGCACACTCGCCACTTTCCTGGCTCGTAAATAGACACCGGTCGGCTCATCAGAGCACTGATGATGCACAACAAAGGTCCAAAAGTGTAATTTTAACATCTCAAAAGGCCTCTCAAGCCTTCAATTTTAACCACCTGGGGTGTTGGGGGGTGTCCCAGAGCCATCCCAACCACTGCACCCCAGGTGGTGCCGCCCGGGGTGTCACCCCGGGTTGTGCCTTTTGGGTGCCACCCTCAGGTGAAATGCAACCTAATGTGACCCAACTGGTCAATGTTGTACAGGTTCCAATGCTGGCTGGTGACGGCAGGTGAGGTGTAGTGTTGTCCGGTGAGGGGTAAGGTCAGGATCCCGACGCGCTGACCAGTTGTGTGACCAACTGGTCAACCCTCCAAGGTTTATTTGCCCATGGGTCATCCCGCCGCCAGCCCGTTGGTCATGGATGACTGCCCTGTTGGTCCGCCGGCTTTCATGTGGCCAGGTTGACTTGCTGTTGAGTTTTCACCTCTTCTTCCTACTCTTCCCCAAAACAGTCCCTCTTTCCTTTACTTTCTTCCCCTCTTACTTTTCTTGAATCATCTTGAACTGGACTGAATTATAGCATATCATAGCTGGTTTTCTGTTGAAACTTATGCATTTGTGTAGTCTAATTAGAACTCTCTATAGCAATTCAATCAACAACTCCTGTCTTCATGATTGACTTCTTTCTTTTTCTATGTTCATTATCTGATTCTTAAAAACTAATTATTTAGAATTAACGCCTCTGAATATCTGTGATAGAATTCTTGTTTTTTCTTGATTAACTCTTCTTGCCTGACTAAAAGAGACTGAGAAGTCCTGCCGAGATTGTTTCTTCCAAGAACTCAATTTATTCTTTCTCTTAGTTTTTATTCAATATCCTATTTTTTATTCATTTTCATTTCTACCACATTTTGCTCACTTGTACTTAGTCTATTTAAACCTGGCTTCTTACTTGTGAATGAAAACTCATTGGTTCTTTCACTCATTTTCCGTGAACCTCTCCCAAAAAAGTGTCCTTTCCTTTTTTGGCCCTCATCCTCTTACGCGCCTGAGTCTTATAATTTCAACACTTGCCTATCAGGCTTCCCCCTGTGATGCAGTCGGCGGTGACTTGCCTGTCAGATTGCCGCCTGTTGATCAGTTGACTGTGACTTGCCCGTCACCTTGCCCCCTGTTAATCAGTCGGCTGGGACTTGCCCATCACCCTGCTGCCTGTCATGCAGTCAGAGTTGACTTGCCTGTCTCAGGCCATGGTTATGGATATTGTTGAAGTTCCTTTCAGGATGTGATTGGTCAGGATGACCAGTGTGCAACCACCGCGCTGACGTCAAAACTAAATTTTGAAGATGAATTTTCACCTCTATCAGAGCTAACCTTTTCAGGCAAAAGCTCGAGAAAAGGTGGTCTTCAAACAAAAAAAAATTAAAATTAAAATGACTTAAAGAAAAAAAAATTGCCAAAGACCTAGAACGGGGTATTATGTATTAATGATCAGTGGGGTGAGTCAAGCGGTTATGGTGGGGCGGCGAGAAGAACTGCTAGCCCAGCCTGATGGCGGGATGCCTTGGTTTGAGTCCTCTAAGCAGCCAGTCTTTTTGATGGATCAAGTGGCCAAGACTCCAAGTCCAGTCCGTGTAGAGACAGACAAAATGAAGATGTGTCTGGTGAGAGTCAAACTCACAACCTCAGCTAAGCTGAGACACATACTAGAGTGCTGCCTTTACCAACTAGGCTACAGACGCTTGTGACTACCAGGGTTGTTGGGTGGTAGTGCTCATGGTTCAACATGTAGTGATACATCATGGTAGCAGACTATCAGACACCTCAACAGTCTGGACCCCATTTCTTTTTATCTCACAGAATGAGAATCCTGGCCGCCTCAAGGCCAGCAGCCTGACCAAATCACCCCAGAATCCATAATCTCAGGGTCTTTCAGCACCCTGAGACAATGTACACAGCGGGACAGATCGAAGAAATCCCGACCCCCTGCCGGCGCCCCGCGCCGGCAGGGCAACCACATGACGCACTAGGGCAGCGGCGCTCTGGGTCAGCATGGTGTCACTGAGGCGTGATTGGGTTGACCCACAACAGGCACATCCCGGTGGCAATTGGGGGGGTTGACTTGGGATTGACATGGCTGTGGGGTTGTCATCCTTCTGCCATGGGGATGACACCGACCGAGGCGTCAGGGACGGTTAATGGTTGGGGCGGCGTCATCCTTGCAACCCTTTTCCAAGGTTGATTGTCTCGTTTTTTTCCTCTCAAATAGCATCGGAAAGGATGGTGTTCACGTTGTGGTAGCTGAATGTGTAAAAATTCAAAGTTTTTTATTATTCTTTTTTATCCCTCTTTTTTACTCTCATACTCTCAGAAACTCAATTCTTACATCATTAAACTGTGATCAAACAAAGAAATCTCAAACCAACCACCCCTATCACTTGATTAAAACTTGCCAAGCTAAGCTTGGTGGGTCTTGTTATCTGATAGTATAGAAGGGCAGAGTTTGCAACTCCACCATACCCTTCTCCATTCATCAAAAGGGTTCTCACCACCACTTTTGAGTCTTACAACGTGGCACTTCAAAAAAAACTACTGCCATTTTTTTTTTCTTTTTTCTCTTTGACTTACTTTTTTTTTTGGATCAGAGGTCTCTCAGGGGGGAAACCTGGAACACAACTTCATAAATTCTATCCTCTGACAAGTCGCACTGGTGGTCTGGTTAAGTCAACCATTCCGCCAATGGGGAGTCCGATACGAGTTCAATACAAGTTTGAACCTTGTATGAGCAATCTTTTTTTCAGTGCTACATATGTACCCAGCCCGATCCGAATTGTTGGCCCAGAACTGGCGCCCCCGTTTGCATGTTGGCTACATACCGCCCTCGACTTTAGGGCGAGACCCCTGGGCGCCATCAAGGGGATGCTCCAACATGTGTCCCCAGGGCAACCCTGGCCTAGTGGGCTGCAAGGGTGCCATGGGCATTGCCCAGCTGGCGACCAACTAGTCCCGGGGTGTACTGGCGTCAGCGCCATGCTGACAGCCGACCGTTTGCCTGCCGGGCAGATATGCATCGGTGCGTTGACCACCCCGACCCCATGGCTGCAAATCTGACTAACTGATGTTGGACCCCAATAAGGTTCAGCAGGGTTGGGGCTAACTTAACACAAGTCCCTCCCTGGTGGGAGGACGCTGTGTAACACTGTTGCTGGGCGCAAAGCGCCCCCTCCCGCAGGGAAGGACTTGTGAAAAATGAGCGGAAAATGGCTTGAGGCCTCCCAGCCATTTTCCTGAAAAAGTTGTTTTCATCGAGTTTTACCGTCAACATCGCTGATTCCACACTTGCCAATGACACCATTGGAATCAGCGTGTTTTTCTACTAGTGCCCATCACCACAAATCACCATCCACCGCTCTTGCCTGGATGCTATGGTGATGTAGAGTGTTCAGGAATCCATGGAATCCGCTCTGGTAGAGACCAGATACCTAGCCATATGGATCCGGTCTAATATCATAGATAGACTTATATCAAAAAAACATTCATTGCGAAGCTCGTTTATCAATGTCAGCCTATGGGAATCTTCCAGCAATTTCTATTTGGAAGAGCTCACTCATAGGATAATAGTATTGCTCATAATTTAAGGGGGTCGGAAAAACGACTCGCAAAAATTGTCCGACACCTCCCATTTTGGTCAAGGGGTTGTCGGACGGCAGTCGTTCTTCTAAATCGATGGCCGACTTTGGGAGTCGGCCATCCAACTTCTTTTTTTTTTTTTAATTTTTTTTTTTTAGGGAGTTGGCACCCCAAACCACCCCTCATGCTTGAGGGGGTTTAGGAGTCACTCACTCCCATGACCGGAAAGATTTCCTTCCGGTCTATGAGAAAGAAAAACCTCATCGGCCGGAAGGGATTCCTTCCGGTCAATGAGGTATAACATCTCGACAGAGGGTATCCCTTCCGGTCAATGAGGTATAACATTCCTCATCATTCGGAAAGGGATTCCCTTCCGTCGAGGAGGATGTTATAACCTCATCGACCGGAAGGAATCCTATCGTGGGCGATGAAGGCTAACACCCTCATCGATTGGAAGGAATTCCTTGTAATTGATGAAGTTTGTTATAATATCTCATTGATTGGAAGTCATATGAGGGTAACAACCTCATCGATCGGAAAGAATTCCTTCCAATCGATGAGGATGTTATACCTCATCAACCGGAAGGGACTCCTTCCGGTCGATGAGGTTTTTCCTTCTCATAGACCAGAAGGAAATCCTTCCGGTCATGGGAGCAAGCAACTCCCAAACCCCCTCAAGCATTAGGGGTGGTTTGGGGCACCGACTCCCTAAAAATCAAAAAATTAAAAAAGAAATTGGATGGCCAACTCCCAAAGTCGGCCATCGATTTAGAAGAACGAATCCCATCCGACGACCCCTCGACCAAAATGGGAGTCGTTGGACAATTTTTGGAAGTTGTTTTTCCGACCCCCTAATTTAATTATAAGAGCTCATAAGTTAATAGTTAAGAAACCGTGTGAGGGCGATGCCCGAACAACATTGGGATAATCCGAACAAATGATTGGGATGATGAGGGAATGGCGGTACAAAATTGATTGCACAACCGCCTGTTCTGGATGAAAAATTACAAAAAAAAAGCGAGAAGCCTGAAACCCAAGGCTACACATTGGACTGATGCAAGTCCGAATCGGTCCGTACATTTTTTTAAAAACGGAGATATTTGTGAATTTGGGGCTTTTCCTGCAAAAAAATTGCCAGCCTCACGCCGTGCGAGAGACTTATGGCATAAGCCTCTCCTTCGGGACGCGGGGTCGGCCATTCGGCCCCGACCGAAGGAGAGGTTTAGTTGAGCTAGGGTCGGGGCTGGACGGTTTGACCGGCGAACACTTCGCCGGGCTGCGGTCGAGCACATGTGGCAGGCTGTGTAAGGGACTTGCCATCATTTCGCCTACCTCGGGCTGGTCGAAGAGAGTCGACTCGGGCTCACGCTCAAACTCGCGACCTGTTGTCGTCGAACCCGAGCGGGCGTGTATAGCTGATCACAGCTGATCAGCTGTACATCCCGTATTGCGCCCGAAAAAAAAATCATAAGGCGTGGCTCGAATCTCGATGCCTGTCCCGGCTTCCGTACAACAGTCAGCCAAGAACCTGGTGGCAATGCAAAAGTACGTCGTAAGGCGAGTCCCTGTAGTCTTGGGAAAAGCCGCGCACCGCCAAGCAAGAATCTGGCAACATCAGAGTGCTTCTTTGTGTTGCTTCGATTGTTGGGAATGAAGCTGCATGGGTAGCGAACAGATGACGTGGATGGAGTTATACAGATAATCAGAATGAGCCTCCATTCCCACTTATAAGAGAGGTGTCTTCCAGCACACCAGCTGCTGAGTTTTCTTATCTTTTCTTCTCAGTTATATTTTCAAACCTGAAGCAATTACTACAGCGCGATCTTCAAACAAACACAATGAAATTTCTAGTCCTAGTGACGACTACATTGCTGCCTTTGATCCCTGGTGTTGTATACGGGGTGGACTTTGACGGATGGTGCGCCTCACATTACGGGAACGTGGGAAAACCATGGGCGATTTGCGGCAAGGCAGAATATGTGAACGACGACCCAAAACAAGGCATATCACGTTGGAGTGGTGAGCGCTTGTTTTTTTTTTTTTTTTTCTTTAGTCTGCCTCATTTGTAAGACAAGGAGTATGTATACTAAAACCTCTTGCAATTTCAATTCTAACCACTTGTTTGGACTGAATGAGCAGTCCGACCGCAAGATAAATGCAAACTCTTGAAGGATGACCCGACCGCCATCCCGTTTTGCTGTGCGAAATCAATACACAAGATAGTCAATGTGTGCACCATTTCTAATCAATCACACAAGCCCTTGGATACAAAGTATATACTACTGTTACTGACTTCATCACTTCTGAATCTTACAGAGCCATGTTTGGGCTCATTCTGGCACTGCAGTGGATCCTGTTATGATCAAGGAAGACTGTCACAAATTAGCATAGTCGCCAGTTAGGATACTTTTTCAACCTTATATATCTGCTTGTAAGGAAGCTTGGCGCGGCTTTTCTACTCTTCCTAGGAATCATTATTTCCTTCCTCCAAATTAAACTGCTGATTGTACATACTCAGGGCTGTGTCTATCAATTGAGGGGGTTCACTTACTGCTGATGCTGGAATCATCAGCAAAACTTGTTAAAATCCAACTTTGCTGATGCATTGCAAAGCAATAAGGTTTGGTGAGGAGTTCCCCTCTAGAAGCAAGATGCCACAACAAAAATTAACCAATATTGTGCATCAGCAACCAAACCTTGCTTCACATCAGCAACAGTTTTGGTGGAACGTGAACCCCCTATATTTGTTACCTTCCTCAAGTTTTTTTTTCATTTCTTATTTTTTGTAGACCAGAAAATTGTTTTCAAATGATACTCAACCAATCATCTCTTTCTCCTTGTCTTTCCTTTTTTCTATCTTTGTTTTTGCTATCCAATCAAAACAACCTCATGATGAATAAGAAATCAGCCAACTGATCTGCAAGCTCATGTATCATTTACCAGCTTCAGCTACAAGACCCAGATTGATTGTGCTGTGCAAGAGTAAATCAAGACTCAACACAACTCCCATAAATCAAATCTCAAATGATAGCCTCTCAAACGGTATGTGGTAACAATCCCACCCTGTGGCGCTCATCCCATGGATTCATATCTATCTGCAGGGTTGCTTGGCAACCAGAACCTTGGGTAAGCTGGAACTGGCATTAAGTTGGAGAGTCTGGATCCCAATAGATTTATAGGCTCTGCATTGGCATTGAGCCCAGTTGTTGAATTGTTTCATAATTCAGGAAAAATTTAAGGTGGGTTCAGGAAGCAAAAAGCTTATTGTGAACCCCTAAATGAGTTGAAGTACAATTCAGCATGGCTTCAACAGTTTTGTTTTGCTTTGTTTTGTTTTGTTGAGTTGGTTTTTTGCTGAAGAATGCAGTTCATTTCCTTGAAAAGCGTTTCTGATTTCAATTGGCTCCATTTTCCAATTTGTTTCCCACTGATTCCTGGCATTTCAGCTGTCTTATTCCCTCTTTTTCTGAATTTTTCTCCAAGTTTTTAAGGTTACTATGTGCCATTATCATAAGGATGTTGGTGGAAAAATAAAAAAAACTGAAATTTACCAAAATTGCTTCCAAATTGGAGGACTTCCTGTCGGTTTTACAGGTCTTGTAAAGCTAGATTTAAATTACAGTCTGTAAAGCCAATTTTTCAATGGGAAAACAGCTTTACAGCCTGCAAAATTAGCTTTACAGGGGGTCGACAGGAAGTCCTCCATTTTCATTTTTCATCAGTATCTTTTTTTGGGGGAAAAAATGGATTTGCTGCATTTTTCATGTGTGTGTCCAACAGGGGCTCTCTGAGATCCTGGTACAGAAAACCAAAGGGTTTTGGAGATTAAGGGTTAAAAGAAGAAGTCCCCTGGCTACATACAGGTATGTCAAGTCAGCTCAACTGCTCATTCACTTCACCTCCCCACCCCCATCTGAATCTCCATCCATCAAGCATTCAAACTGGAGATACACAGGGGATCAGGTTGTGTCTTTCAACTACAAGTATAAGATGGTCCACAACTGGCCAAGAATGAGGGTCATCAAGTTCAAAATGCTTCAAAATTGAATTCATGATCCGCTAATCTAAGACCATTGGTTGCAGTTACAGTCAAGCTTGCATTAAACATGACAACATCTAGTATTTGAAACATCCATTATGTAGAAACAAAAAATTTAAACTTGTCTATACAATCATCTATATTCTATACACTGCATCCAAATTGAAGCACGGGGGGAGGAGGGGACTGGCTGGTCAATCCAGTGGTTTCATGACCCCACTGTGCAACAATTCAATGACTGGATGTGAATCGGGCAAACGCTGACGTGCGGCCAATTGTAATCCGACCTCTTTCAGTACTTGACTGCATCCCAAGCCACCAGTATCTAGATGGGAGCCAATCTTCCAGTCAATCAACTCGTCCGCTCGAGTCGTCCCAATGTTGATCATCCCGATTTGCGAGCCGGCTTTCTCCTTTAGTTCTTTTACCAATCGGAACGCCGAATAGGTCGTCAGGGAAGTCCCCAGAAGGAGCAGATTCGTGGCTTCTGAGACGCGTCGGTTGGCCAGCTCCTTGGCTTCTTTGCTCAGCGATTCTCCGAAAAACGTCACCTGCATGTATCACCATTTTGAAAACGAGAAAGAATCGGACGTGGGCCCCGAAGATCGTTCAAAAAGAAAGCAAGTGTTGAGCAATCACAGGAATTGATGGTCACATGAGAAGGGAAGATTTACATACAGCAGGTTTTAGCAGCCCAACAGTGCATTTCTCACAATTAGGTACAACAAAGGAGTCGAACGATTTATCCTTTACATCAGCGTCACCATCGGGATTGGTTTTGACTTCCTGGCCGATGCTCTGTAGAGTGTCAGCATAGTTTTTCCATGATGGATTTAATTCGGAAAGCAGATCTTGGAAATCGTCTCGGTCTGAGCAGGAAGCACAAACCGCTATGAAGCATCAACAAAAAACACGCCTTATTGGGACCACAGCGGCAACAAGAACCTTACCGATTTGGTGGCCACAGGATAAACAATTGACATGTTTTAGGGTTCCATGAAGCTCCAAGATATTGGGATGGGGTTTGAAGTAATCCGGTGCATGACTGTCCTGTTTGACGCCGATAGCTTTGTGGTGTAATCGATCTACATTCTTACCAGAGGATAAAAACAAAGGATAATTGAGGATCAGGGAGCCTGACCAGCAGCCTGTTCAATGCACTTTTTTTTTCGTCACATATTCGACGAGATACGTACTTACCTGTGTGATCAAGTGACGGATGTACCCCATCTTCATCAATGCTGCAACCGCATAATGTCCCACGTTGGGTTCGGCAACTCGGACCGTAGGATAACCCAAGTACGATCGAGCCCAGTATCGTATCCGAAAACTGTGAGACTGGAGGATAAGAAGATGCACAGAGTTTGATGAGCATTTAGATATGAATGATGAATCTTAATTTTTTTTTTCTCTTGTTTGAAACACTCTTCGTTGCAGGTGCCCATGAACCCACCTCCAAAAATTCACTGCATTTTCCAGCGTGCAAGCAGACATTAGTGCAGGATGATGATTAGAACGACCGATTACTAAATGGTGAAATTTGCCCAAGAGATTGAATTGGCCAGATATTTCAGAAACTCAACTGAAAGAATATGGGTCGATATGATTTATTGATAATGTAAGACTGTGTACTTGCAAAATCACTGTTTTCAGCTTATCCAGTGAGTTAACGATTATGAGATACATAAATAATAATCACTTACTCCTTTGGCACCTCTACATAACAGGGAAGGACGTGACTCAGAATCAACCGAGGATTTTGGAGGAATTCCGATATTTTCAGATACATATAAAAAAGTCAGCAGAAGAAGCATTAAAAACTTTGCAGATGTCAGAAGAACTTGATCAAATGATATAGGAGATCTGGACATACCTGTAGGCACGGATGCCTGAATCCACACTCATCCCAGCCCCACTGATCGCCAGAACATTCCCAGCACCATGGTCCAACAATCTGATCACGTATGAGACCGCGGTCGAAATATCTGAGATGACTGCTCGCTTGTTCAGGGGGTCGCCAATCGGAATTTTTGGGACTGAGATCCGACCCATAGGCATTCAGAAGTATATAGTGGTGGTTGACTGTTGTAGACAAAGATTCTCCTAATTTCTCTTGATAGGCAGCCATGCCCATGTCCTCATCTTCCAGTTCCTGTGTCCTGTGTGTGACATGTTGTCCATCGGTAGCCATGTCACACGCGCGCTCTCTCTCTCTCAATCTGTGACATCCCACAGTCAGGGAAATGTTGAAGCACATGTTGAGCTCCGGGTCGCTGTGGAGGGAGTGCTCCCCAAAACCCGATGTCGAGTCTCAGCTGCCTGGCGAACTACCGAGCGCTCTATCGGGCTTACCGGAAGACTTCACGACACCCTCGTCCGCCGATCCCTCGGCCTATCAACTCCCAACTCAGGTCGCTCGTCAATGCTGGACTGAAGGACCAGCAGCTCGAGTCGGTCATCAAATACCTCGTCTCCAGTAATCTCCATCAGGTGAGCTTTGCTTCCATATCTGTCTCCTATCATATACTCATGTTGCATTTTGTTTCTGTGTGCAGGAACTCGTTCGTCGGTATAATCCTGCTGATGATCTGACGGAACCAGAACGCTTGAAGGCGTAAGTCGATAAAAACCAGTAGAACTGATTTCAGCTCAGTTTTTTTATCCGATTTTAATCTGGCTCTGCCTTCTTCTGATTCTATAGAACTGTGAACCGGGTCGGATTAAATATGCCGAAGACCATGGACCTCGAGACACCGTTATAACAAACTTTGGCTACCCATGATTTCTGAGATAGCCGACCCGTTTGATCAGCGCATTGTGACCAAAACATGTGCACCCGCGAAATGCGTATCTTGCATCCCGTGGCTCTCGACGCCAAATATCCCTGATCGATGTGCAAACCTTCTAGCCCGTAGTTGTCCTATAGTATGACACCTAACGCCATAAAGATTTTTTCGTCGTTAAGGTCATCATAGCACGCGCTGAGGGAAGTCACAAGCTAGGCGGTTTATGATAGGCGTTTGTATCGCCGCCACTTGTCGAACAGAACTTGAATCGATGACTTGACTCCTATAGAGTCTAATAAAACACTCATGAGCAATCTGCCCACTCAAATCCGACTTCAGGCCACAGGCTTCTCCCCAAAACAAAAAATGGCAATTGTAGCCCCCCTCCATCATTACTCCGAATGATCAG